TAACAAATGCCTATAAGAAATTATTGCACACTTATCTCTTAACAATAACACTTTTTCCTAAATTTTGAATATTTTCACTAAAATTAAATCGTTATTAACATTAGTCTTAGTTAGTCAAGGTTTTACAAGTCTTCCACAGAACTTATCTTTATAGCCATTATTTAACTCTTTGAAATGCCAAAAAAATTCTAGACAATTGAATCAGTCAACTTGGTCAACTGAATCAACATCGGATGGTAGGGACTATCAAGATTAATTAAATTAAAGTTCAAAATGTGTTACATAGCATGTACCATGGCCCCTCAAAGAGTTAAGTCACGTGGATAACTTCATATCATATTTCTTGGATATTATTTTCTTCTTCTATAACAACTTTTGTTCATATTTTGCTTGACATTATGGACTTCGTTATATTAAAGCTTTGTTCTCAAAGGTAAAGTTAACGGAGATATAAAAAAATATTTAATATAAGAATTAGTTCTTTCTGACAAAACAAATTATGAAAGAAAAACTTTCTACAAAAAAAACTATCAATTAAAATATATGTGTTGTTTATAATATTAAAGATGATATACATGTATCAATTAATTGTCTTATGTATTACTAATAAATAGGCACTTACATAATGTGTAATTTTAATAATAACAAAGAATCAATAAATATATAAGTCAATTGGAATTGGTATCGATCGTTCAATGCTTTTAAGTAATTTGTAACGAGAATACCGTAATTGATTTATATTTTCTAAATGGGTTTTACATTGATCCGGTCAAGTAAGTTAAGTGCACTGTAATTTTAACCATTCTATTGTTTCGGTTCAATAAATAAACTACTTCAGTCACCTTTAAACAAAACTTTACTGAAATTGAAGCAAACTAGTATATAAATACTGTAATTTACTTACTAATAATAACAATTTCCAACATGCATTTTAAATTTAAAAAAATATATGTTTTTTATTTTATATATAAAATTATACTGTGTTATATGAAAAAACTTTACTAATTCAAAGAATTAATAATAATTATTGTAATTGAAGTTCTCTTCTCTATAAATATATAATTTATATAACTATTATTTCATTATTTAAAAGAAACTTCAAATAGACTCGATTTATAAAATATTTATTTAAATTAATACTTATTTAATAAATATTTAATTAAAAGCTTTATAATATAGAAAATTTATTAAAAAATAAAATTGCGTAATACAAACTTTGAAAAGTTTTTGATTGCAAAAATAACAAAATAAAAACTCGTTTGGAATGTATGTTATTTCAAAATAAAGATTGAAGTATATATTCAAGTACGTTTTTTATGTATTAGAATTTTTCTCACGCCATAATAAAAATATGAACCTATAGAATACGTATACATCATACACATTTTTTAAATTAGTTTATGAAGTATGAGCGTGAAAATATTCCAATCTGGAATGTAGGAGCCTCCGGGGCTCGATACCCAGGAATGTGTGAGGTTCGTGATTATGTTCTATGTGTTTATATTCACCCCTTTGATAGAACGATGTGTATGTATCAGACGATCTGCCTCATTTGTACTAGCGTTGCCTATGGCCGTTCTTTTAGGGCCGATTTCTAGTGAAACCTAAGCCTACGTTAATCCCGAAACACGCAATACGCATTGCCACCATGTAACACTTCAGAACCTAGATTATAATTGCAAAAGGAATTTAATTTCCACTAAATTGTTATGTCAAACAGCTTTGTGTATTCTGATCCAGATTATTTAATAATTAATTTAAATCATAATTGTTATAATATTATATATTAAAAGAATCTAATAAATAACAAGTATTAAAATATAATTATTTAACCAAAGTGTCTTTTTATATTATAATTTTATATTTTAAATAATTTTTTATACTATAATTCATTTGTAATAAATTAGTTATATATACTACAAATCGTTATTTACCTCGAATTTGCAACGTTTCGTCGAATTTACGTATGTTATGTACAATTAATTTAATAGGATTTGTATGATATTTGATATTAATTATGATTCAGTACAGAACATCGTTAGTCGTATTTCGATTCTATATCACATACAATTGTGTATTATTGAAGTATTTCAATTATATTTATTTATTATTAAGTAATGTACGTTTGATTATTTTAGTCTTTTCAATATATTAGATAATTTTAATTAAATTTAAATACAGTAGAACCTTGCTTAACAAGCACCTCGCATAACGATCCAAACAAATTGTAACATAATTAACATACGAAGTGACGAGAAGAAGGGAAGTTCTCGGATTGTGCGCCTGTTACATCATTTTCCAACTGGTGTTCAGACATATCATTTGTGTGTTTTTTGTACAAAATAACAATTCTTCCAAAAATGTCTCAGATGAAACAGCCGCAAAAAATAATAAGAGAATAAAAACATTTTTGTGTTTTATATTCATTTATATGGGATTAGCACTGGTACTGACAGCTACAGTTTGGACTGCCACAAATTTTCCAGTTTGAGCAGTCATATTACGAGCTCGTGCTAAACGTTCGAAACTCCATTCTTCTAATCAAACCAAAAACTTAAAAAAAAGTACATGAAATGTGTCCATGTTGAAGAAGCCGGTATCGGCATGTCGGGAGTTGTACTGCTTGGAGGATGGAATCCCATCTAATAGCAAGACCGTCGGATATGGATATGATTCTTTCTTCTGCAACACCGGTGCTGGCAAGCATATACAAACGCCATCTTCGACGACTGCAACCAATCGTAATCGTATTTTTTCAAGTCAAAAGTTTATGTCAACAAGCCTACGACCATCCAAGTCTAGAAGGAGATGTTGTATCGCTGAAATCCAGCCCTAATTATGTTAAAACGTTGTTGCAAATTTTGTCAAAAGAACGCATTTGTGCCAGCAAAACCTCAAAAAGAATTGTGTTTTATTTAAAATTTAGATTGTGGAAACAAAATGCATTAAATAATAGTTATTCCATATTACAAATTGAAATAGAATTTTAAAATACAATACACCTTATTATGATTATTCGTAAAACTAAATCTATTATTAGCTGGTGTTTAATTTGAGGTAGTATGATGAGCATGTATCATCAGTGATAATGATTTCGAGATGAGAGGATGAGGATGATGGTGATGGCTGTAGCGATAATAATAGACGGGACCGGTTTGAATGTGTTTCAAAGTTCAATTAAGTTAATGTTTAAAATCCCGGTGGAAGATTACACCTCCAGAGTTCCTTATTACCGGCCATTAACATTCTATCCGAGTCGTTTAGTTTTAAGGTAATTGTTTCTCGGCGTCGAATGAAATATTGCGAATCGCGTGCCAAAAGGATTCCTCCTCCGTCCGTCCGAGGAAGAGAAAAAACGGAAAGAAAAGAAAAATCAGGACGCGGCGTAAAGAAAGAAAAAGAAATCTTTGCCGCTGCACGTATGTAAATATTCTGCGGGAAAACATTCAGCGATAAATCAAGACTTGGAGGAGGCCGCATGCCGTCCGTGTCCGGATCGAGTCCGATGTGTATGATATATTAAGTTCCCCCTTCCCCCGCCGAATGGGATTCATGCGGGGCCCTCGGCCCTTTGACCCATCCTCGCATGTTGTAAGGGTTAAGAGGTGAAATGCGCCATCCGCTGCCACGCATTTATATCATCCCATTTCAATGGGATTATGCATTTCCAACACCTTTATCTCGACCCTTAGTCGCCCCCGATAAAACGAATCAAAATAAAAGGAAGGGGTCCTCTCTCATTTCTCATTCCTCACCCCACATCGCAAAGTCATATTTCGTCCTTCTGGTTTCACCTGCAATCCCATTTTAATCGTTAAATGGTTTAACGATTTTGACCTGCGATCTTTTCTGCTATAAAATATTGCCATTTACGTTTTTCTGAATAAAGTATACTATGGTGATATTAAATGCTATTACAAGGGACCTCACGGTGCATTAGTTAAATTGGCCATTAATTCGATCCTTATTTATTTATATAAAAACATCAATTGGATTGTTATTGAACTTTTGGTAAATTATTATTATTTAATTGGTATACAAATATTTAAAATTATTAATACATTATTTTCAAATTATTTTGAAACTTGTAAATTTCCATTCATTTGAAGCGGTTTAGTTGTTTGATTAATTAATATTTTATTTATAATACTTAGGTGGTACTAAATTCTTTTATTTTATTTGCTACTGCTTTCATTTATTTTCATCTATTTACATTTTCTGTGTTTTTTTCTTTCCTAATTAAGTCAATTGTACAATTTTAATATCAGTCCAAATGTATTTTAAATTATTTATTTATAGAAACAGTTTGAAACCTTTTCAATGTAAACCAGCGGTTTCCAACCTTTATGCTACTACGCCTCCCCGAAAAAAAAAATTATGTGTTTATTTATACAATACCTCGTCTAGTGCGGCTTTGTTCAGTCCGCTTAGAAAATTTCAAAACAAACTAAATTTTAAATAATGACTACACAAAATTATTATTTTTTTTATTCATAAAGCACTCATTTTGTGTGCTTTATTTTTGTATATATTTACTTCCTGGATTAGTGCGGTTTCAAACAGTAAACCTATACATATTTAACATAATTCAAAATATATATTTTCAATATTAGCAATAAGATATTACTACTTTATTACTGACGCTTTAACTCTTTAAGGGGCTAGAAATTCCTAAATTTCTAGACCCAACAAATTTCTAACCAACTGAATCAAGCATCTATCTGAATCAACATTGGATGGTATGGCCTATCAGGATTCATCCTTTGACATACCGACCAAATTAAAGTATAATTTCTCTTTCCTGGACATTTTCTACAAAATTCTCCTCAAAGAGTTAATAAACCTTTTATAATTCTGTTAATTTGTACATAATTTCAAGAGTGGTAAAAAACATTAATTCGAAACATCTTTCACTATATTTCTATAATATTTCTTACTGTAAATGTTAGTGTTTCATTTCTGTAGATTTAGTTACTAATTATTTTTTCATATTTTTTCAGATGGGACCTTCTTTGCTAGGACCTATTTTACCACGGCCTGTAAGTCTTATTATTCCATTACAAATTATATAAGTATAATATATTTTAATTTATCATTTAAATATTATTATGTTATTCAACAATAAAAATATATTAGAGATTTGATCATGAAATTAACATTATCAAAGATACTTTATGTTATCATATCTTTATTAAATAAATTATTAAAAAAAATACACCTTCTTTTCAAATTATTGATTTGATATACAAAATACATAAATTGTAAATGTTTATTAATAATGAAATCCATCCTTCTAAATGAAATGTGAATTTTATATTTTTTGTGCTTCAATTGTAATTGTAAAATAGACGATTGAGCACACTGTAAATTGCTTTGTAGTTAATGTCATAATGATATAATTAATCTTTACCAGCTCGATGCGTAGCAAAGCAATTAGTGTCTCATTTTGATTTATTGATCTAAACGTTATTAATAACGTACATTTTATTTTACATCAACGATCTTAAAGTATTAACGATATGCAGTATTTTCTTTCACGCATAAATCACGTTTCCTCGTAAAATTATTCGCATTATAAGTAAGGAAAATAAAAAAATGTAATATTTATCTTCTCAAGTATAAAGTCCATTCCGCAGAAAATTATTCTATAAAAAATATTCTGTTATTAGAGAAAACATTAATATGATTTGTTATTATGAACTTTGTTCTTGAAATGTTCGAACTGGGGAGTTGAAGGCATTATGGAGGATTTAATTTGGTTATTAACGATCATTTTTATCATAACGGCTTCTAAAATATTGAGAACATAGATTATATAATGCCGACCAGCAGACGCGCTTTACGATCATCGGAATGGTACTTTTATGGTGCACTTAATCATTGGATGTCTCAGTGGATAAATAATAAATTTGAAACATATTGCTCTTGTTTTTCATCACAAATTTCAAATTATAGAGAACAGAAACTGGGTTGTCAAACATAATTCGTTTCAAAACGTTGTTAGAGAAACGAAACCATTTACATTGTACGAATTCAAGTAAATGGTTATAATCTGTTCCTGGTGACTAGAATAGTTCAATTTTTCAAATTCAATTTAGATGCTTTGCCTTTTGTTTTTTTTTTTCCGAGAAATATGTGTAGCATTACCAGAAGTACCCGACCTCACGTATAGATAGCGTTTTTTTTAAACTACTACATTAAGTCATCGATTAATTGGTTCCGAATATTTTCGCGTAAATCTAAAAATCACACATGTACGCCACCCCTTAATAATAACACCAATGTATATGCATCTACACTGAATAAATAATTTTGAAATTGAAATTGATTCTAAAAATCACATAAGTAGATGAAATCACAAAACTTAGCAAAATTTTTCTGTGGTATATTAGAAGTTTGATTTTGCAATCTGCAGCAGCATTTACATCAAGTAAAAGTGTTAGCCTATCTTTAGAGACCTTAAACCCCGGCAAAGATATTTCATGTTGAGATATGTGTCGACGATCTGGCTTTTTTTTTTCAATATGGCCACCACACTACCACGCCTTGCGGAAAGTAAACTAAAATCGCGTAAGTCGAGGACTTACTATACTCTTGCAACTTCATCTTTGTATCATGAAGATCTTGTAATTGGGATCCCTATGATAATATTTATTTCTTGAAACGAAATTGACCAAATTACTCTTATAACGCGATTTATGAAAACGCTAGGCTCGTGTACCGCGTTATATAGAAAGAAACTCAGTTACGAGAAACCAAAGTATGTTAGCAAATTAAACCTAAATTAATTTTGATTGATTATATACTTTCACAATAACTATACAGTTATCCCTCAGTTTTCACCGCCGCCGCGTATTTTTATTAACCAACCCTATATGGGTTCATTTTACGCCGATTCGATTTACGCCGATTCGTTTTATGCCGATTTTTGTAGATACATAACTGCGGCGTAAACCGTATGCTACCAGTACTTGCATGTTTTCTTGGAACGAATAGTAATTCGGGAATGTGTCTAGACCATAAAGCGAGGTATGGGTGTATTTTAGGGCTTATACAAAAACCGACTTCTAAAAAAAAAACGGTTTTCGAATATCAACCATTCTTAAACTGGAGAATTTGACGCTTATTATGTCCAAGGGTAGTTCAAGGGGGAATTTGTATTGTCTGTCATTTTCTTGGATGTTAACAGCGCCTTCCATGAAATGCAATTGTTTCTCACAGACAAAGTATATTGGTATCTACTACTGGGAAATCGGGTTTTCATAACCGACCAACCCTAGTATATTTCCATATAGAAAATATGTTTAGGCATTGTTTGCACTATCAGTATTTGGGTATTTAATTCTGGATAAATGTCTTTTCCTTAGTTTCGATTTTTAAATGGCAACCAAATAAAGACACGTGTACGTTTTACTGAATATTTCTTGTAAAATTTTAAAAATGGACATTCTAGCACCTTTAGTAAAATCGTTGCAATCTTTGGAAATTAATTTAAGGAAAGGGATTTTAGTTTTAGAGGAAACGAGATTAAATGGAGAGTTGTGAATTATATAAATATAGTTTTGTTTTCTACAAAGAATTTTATTTATTCTTCAATGAAATATTTGCATTGGTCTATATAAAGAATTAATCTGTTTAACCAATTATTTGATTTAACAAATGATAAAGAATCTCATTCTCATGGTAAACCCAAAGTCGACACATATGAATTAAGTCCTATCAAATCACAGTTTTGTCACTTGTTTTATTTTGTGCAATTTGTTAAATACAATGCCGGGCTGAGAAGCATGGCCAGAATCCCGAAAGGGGATGCAATAGTGGTAGGCCCAATATTGCGGGTAAGTGGGGTCATTTGCGACCCTGCGGCGTGATGTTGCAAGAGCTGGTACCTCCTTCTGGGGTCTCCTCCTGCGCCGACACAGGTACTCAAAATCCTTACTTGAGGAGACGGATAGATAGCGACCGAAGCCATTTCTCATGGCTTCGTTGGGGTGTAGCTACCCCGCGCGACCTTGATTGGGCTCGCAAACTCCTTTGGGACTTTTCTTAACCTTGTGTGGACCTTTTACCACATTGAACAACAGAGGACAACATACGACAAGTCATTTAAGTATAATTAGGGGACATGTCATGAAAGGAAATTGAAAAATATATTGGTATAGATTATGTGTGTTTTATTTATTTAGATACTTAACAAAATATAAATGCATGCATACAAAATTAAATATAAAAATATATCTAAATTACCATTACTTAAAAAAAAAGAAATAAAAACGTCAAAATCCTGATTGATAGCATTTTGATCTAAATTGAAAATGTAATATTTTTAATACGACATTAAATCATCAATTAACTTGAAGAACTCATTTCTTAACATTTGATATTTCGCTTTGAATTTTCCAAATATTGTATCTAACATAAGGATGCTTACTTTGAACTGCTTATTGTCACTCACCTTATTAATCTGATTTCTAGCAAAAACCACTATATTCAGAACTTTCAAAGATATACGATATAATCTATCCACCTTAGTGAACAATCCGTGTAAATGTTTCTTGAAATTTTTCTCCATATCATCTTGAAGGTTGTCTGTGATGAGGATCCTGCGGTTTTCGAACATGGCCACAATAATTTCTATTTGTTCTGTTATTTCAGTCCATAGTTTCACTTCATTACTTTTCCTCTGATTGTACAAGGCGTCGTCGCTAACACTCGATATGAAGTTACTTGCCCGATCTTCTAAGCTGCTATTTTTTAACGCATCTCCAATAGATCTTTGAATAGAATCGTTTTCCCGTCTTATCATATGCAAATTAATTTTCTCATTGCAAGATGATATAGTGAAAGACATATGTATCAACTTCTTTCGTATATTTTTCATTACATATTCAGCGAGTGGTGATTCCTTGATATGACACATTTTACTTAAATATAAATAATGAATAACAATGATACTATAACTTAGAAATGAAGAATTTTAAATTATTTCTTACTTAGTTTAATAAATTTTACAATTTTTTATTGTGTATTGGAGACCGGTGTGAGCTTTAGTCCGCTCATAAACAACTTTGAAAATGAGTAATTATGTTTACAAATTTTCCCGTTATGTCTGCCATGCGTACACAATTGTACCCATTGGTTGCGGTATGCTGAAAGAAACCTACTTTATGCGCGGGAAATTCAAAATATCTTTTGATTTAATTTTACTTTTTACTGTGGAAATATAATTCTAAATCAATTTAAATTTTTATTTTAATATAAATGTTTCAAATATAATTATCATCCATTTATATAACTATAATAATTGAAATAAATGTAGAATAATATCAAGATTCCGAATGCATATTATTTAAAATATATTGTTCTAGGAATTATTTTATATTCTTATCTTGTGTAGATTTGTTTGATATAACACTAATTAAACAATAATATTTGATATAATTACATACAATTCATTATATAAAGATATATTGGATAAATTTCCATGGTTTAATTAACAACAAAAAAAACAGAAAAACTTATGATATATGGAGAGTTATATATACAGAGTTAGCGTCGACCGCATGCATTGAAATGATGATTATTGAAAATGATCAGTAATATGGGTTGCCTATGCATCATATATTTTATATTTGACGCATGTAGGGTAACTACCATTTCTCTCAAAGCTTTGTAATGTTATCAGTGAAAATTCATTAATATTAGACTTTCATTTATACAATAAACTTGTTAGTAAAATTAACGAAAAGTAAATCAAAAATTGTAATGAATTAATGATAGCTTCAATTATTGAGACAAATATAAAATAATGGAATACAAAATGAATACATTCATAAATTGTACATGAAATTCAACTTCTAAGTGTAGAGTAACTTAAAATAACAAATCATAATATTACAGCCAAATTCGGAAAAATGTTGTTAAATGCTTGCTATTTATTTCAGATTTTATTCAAGTAATATTACGTATTGTCCTGGATATATCTGTTGGTGTTTTCTTGGTTGTTTTTCTAATTTTGATAAAACATATGCATCGTGTTCG